AGGAAAGCATAATACTAAACAAAGCTATCGCTCATAACCAGGAGAGCAACGATGAAAGCACAGAGAAGAACTACAAACAAAAAGAAGAAAGAAATCAAGTTTAAGAAGTGCAATAAGGACACAGCTATCAATTATCACAGTAAAGGGAAAGACTTTAAATGCTCCAATCAAAAGACACAGGGTTGAATGAATGGATGAAAACTCAAGACCGCCTACGTGCTCCCTTACAGGAGGCTCACTTGAGATATAAGCACACAGACAAACTACAAGTTGAAGGGTTGGGAAAAGGTACCCTACACAAGTGAAACTGAAAAAGAAAAAAAAAAAATTAAAGATGGCTTGGTGGGATTAAAGACGGCAGCGTGAGAGGGGAGGCAGAAACCTCCTCCGAAGACCACATACATACATACAATGTGGAAATATAACAACTACACCAGATCCTGGAAGAGAAGCAGGAGAGAAGGCTGCCGCGGCAGGCCGTCACCTCAAGGTGAAGGGTGACGTACCAAAGCCGTGACGCAGAGGGACCCAGCAGGCCCTTCCCACACCCGAGCTCACTGGAGGGAGGAAGAGAAAGGGAAACGAGGAGATGGGTGGAGGTCTAGGACAGCTGAACACCCAGCCCTGGAGATCTGCTCTGGGAGCACGAACCTACCTTACATGATGCTCTGGAGGATCGGTGGGGTTGGAAAGCAAAGAAAGGTAGAGTACTTGGAGAGACTTGAGATTCCTGCTGCTTTCGGAACACAGGGATCCACATCCGGCTGCTGTGGGACGAAAGAAAGGCGGGCAGTCTGAGAGACCTCCTAACAGCGAGAGAGCTGCTAAAGGGGCAAGGGTTGCACAGAGCTAGCCACTGAGGAAAAAGCATAGGTGCACAAGACTGTCCGGGTGCACTCTGCCTAGCAAGTGGGGGAACTTTTAGGAGCTCCGGGCGCTCCATTCCCCTGGCTGGCTACAGCAGCTCCAAGGCCCCCCACAGTGATGTGACTGATCCGCAACACGGCCTGCTGCACCTTCCCCTTCACCGCCAGCACCGGCTCGCAGATTGGCTGCCCCCTCCATTGCACCAGGCCAGCGACAGGATGGCCCCACCTACGGCAGCTATGGGTGCATAGCACAGAGGCTTCTCCCTGCGCGCTCTGCAAACTGGCCCTGGCAATGGAGACAGGCACTGCGGCCGGGAAGCAGGAAAGACCTCTTTCCTCCCGCGGGCACCAGTGCCGCTCCCGTGACCCCTGCCTGCCATCACCCCAAGGGCTGAGCAGCTCCAGAGAGAAAAGCTTCTGGGCGCTACAGGGCGCCACCTACAAATACGAAACGTCAAAGTCAAAGGAACCTGGTAACTGGACTCAATCAATCTTTGTGAAAGGGATCTCAACATAAAAATCAGAAACATGCTCACGGAGCTCCAGCAAAAAGTTGCCCCTGCCTCTTGGGCATAATTCTCTCTCTCTCTCTCTCTCTCTCTCTCTCTCTCTCTTTCTCTAGTTCTCTGTCTCTCTGTCTCTCTACCAGGAGCATTTTGGAGGCCTTGTTCTGAGAGGGACGCTGGGACAGCCCAGCAGGAACGGGCAGAGCTCTCAGATCCACCCCGGCCAGTGCCAGGGCAGCCCCACACGGGGTCTGACCGAACTGCAATGGGGGGACGCCACACGTGTAACTCCGCAGGAAATAACAGTGCCGCATGCCAGCCTTCCCATTAATGGCTAGTGGCTAGGTGGCTCCACCGATACCAGTCCACATCCCAGGCCTTACCTCCGTGGCAACTGTTTTTCCCTGTGAACCTTGAAAGCAGCACATAGAAAGATACTCCCAGTCTCCACCATCTCATTTCTCAGTTTAGGCTCGATGTTCCTGTATCACATCTCCTCTTCATTCCAGTTTTCTCAGCAGGTTGGTGATCTGAGAAAAAAAAACAACAACTCAGAATTGGAATGAAAAGGCAGGGGGTATAAGATTCTGTTTAAACATCATCAGTAGAACAAAGACATCCTACAGTATGGGAGGATGAGATTCATAGATGACATATCCGATAAGGGGTTGACATCTAAAATACGTATTAAGTGCTCACGCACCTCCACACACAAAAAGCAAATAATCCAATTAAAAAATGGGCAGAGGATCTGAACAGACACTTCTCCAAAGAAGAAATTCAGGTGGCCAACAGGCACATGAAAAGATGCTCCACATCGCTAATCATCAGAGAAATGCAAATTAAAACCACCATGAGATATCACCTCACACCAGTCAGGATGGCCACCATCTGGAAGACACACAACAACAGATACTGGTGAGGATGTGGAGAAAGGGGAACCCTCCGACACTGCTGGTGGGAATGTAAATCTCAGTTCAACCACTGTGGAAAGCAGTATGGAGGTTCCTCAAAAAACAAAAAAGTACAAATACCATTTGACCCAGGAATTCCACTCCCAGCAATTTACCCTAAGAATGCAGGAGCCTAGGTTGAAAAAGACATATGCACCCCTATGTCTATCGCAGCGCTATGTACAATAGCCAAGGAATGGAAGCAACCTGAGTGTCCGTCAGTAGATGAATGGATAAAGAAGAGGTGGTACATATGCACAATGGAATATTATTCAGCCGTAAGAAGAAAACAAATCCTACCGTGTGCAACAACACGGATGGGGCTAGAGGGGATTATGCTCAGTGAAATGAGCAGGATGGAGAAAGACAAGCATCAGATGATTTCACTCATCTGTGGAGTAAAAGAACAAAGCAGAAACTGAAGGAACAAAACAGCAGCAGACTCACAGAACCCAAGAGTGGACTAACAGTTACCAAAGGGAAAGGGACTGGGGAGGATGGGTGGGGAGGGAGGGATAAGTGGGAAAAAGGGGCATTACGGCTCACACACATAATGTAGGGGGTGCGGCGGCAGGGGTGCCGGGGTGCGGGGAAGGCAGTATAACACAGAGAAGACAAGCAGGGATTCTACAGCGTCTTACGAAGCCGATGGACAGTGACTGTCATGGGGTATGGGGTGGGGGGGCTGGATAATGGGAGGGGGAGTCTAGTAACCATGCTGCTCATGTAATTGTACATTCACGGTCACACATACAAAAAAATCACAGTAAGCTATCACCTCACACCAGTCAGAATGGCTAGTACCAAAAAAAGAAAAAAAGAAATAACAAGCATTGATGAGGATGTGGACAAAGGGAACCCTCGTGCACTGTTGGTGACCATGTAAATTGGTGCAGCTACTATGGAAAACAGTGTGGAGGTTCCTAAAAATATTCATAGTGGTATCATATGACCCAGTGTTCATACATAGCAGTGGAACTCCCTTCAGGATACCGGGCCTATTTCCAATGCATACAACACCAAGCAATTCTCGAACATCAGCAGGGTTTCTAAGAACTCAACTCCGAGGATATCTGCCTGAAGACAGCACCAGATTTCCCAGGGTAAGGTTTCTATCCTCAAGACTGCCCTCCACCCCAACTCCAGAGCCCGGTTGCCAGGCCCATGCAATTAGCCTGTGCTTCCCACCTACATACAGGCTAGGATTGGAAGTTCCAACGACCTCCCCCTTAGGTCTGCCCAAGTTGCTAGGGTGCCTCAGCAGCTCAGGAAAACACATTTACCAGTTTAACAAAGAGTACCATAAAGGACACAACAGCGCACACACATACGGCAAGGTCCCAAGTAAAGGAGCTTCTATCCTCCCGGGACTTGGGGCCTGGCATGGTGGCATGTGCAGGCGACCTGGTTCCCCAAGCATGGAAGCTCTGACAGAGAAGCAGGAGATGAGAGAGAGAGATGTGCTCTTCTCATAGGGTTTTGTGAGGGCTTCACTGCAGAGCCATGACTGACTAAATCGCTGGCCATTGCTGATTCAACCTCCAGCCCTCATCCCTTTCCTCTTCCTTCCCTGGGGGCTGGGGGCTGAAAGTTCCCACCCTCTAACCACAAGCCTGGTGCCCCTGGCAACCAGCCTCTACCCTGGGCTAGGGCCCCAAAGCCTCTGCATTAACCTAACAAGACACCCATTGGACAGTTACGGCTCAGAAGGATTCTCAGGAACTGTGGATGAGGAGCAAAAATACCTAGGAAATGAACAAAATATTAGCAAACCAAATTCAAAAATACATCAAGAGGATCAAACACCATGATCAAGTGGGATTCATCCCAGGGATGCAAGGATGGTAACAACATTCCAAAGTCCATCCACACCATCCACCACATAAACAGAAAGAAAGACAAAAACCACATGATCATCTCCACAGATGCTGAAAAAGCATTCGACAGAATTCGACATCCATTCACGATAAAAACCCTCAACAAAATGGGTATACGGGGCAAGTACCTCAACATAACAAAGGCCACATATGATAAAACCCACAGCCAACATCATACTGAACAGCGAGAGGCTGGAAGCTGTTCCTCTGAGATGGGGAACAAGACAGGGATGCCCACTCTTCCCACTGTTATTCAACATAGTACTGGAGGTCCTAGCCATGGCAATCAGACAAAACAAAGAAATACAAAGAATCCAAATTGGTAAAGAAGAAGTTAAGCGGTCACTACTTGCAGATGACATGATATTGTACATAAAAAACCCTAAAGACTCCACTCCAAAACTAGTAGAACTGATATCGGAATATAGGAGAGTTGCAGGATACAAAATCAACACACAGAAATCTGTGGCATTCCTATACACTAACAATGAACTAATAGAAAGGGAAATCAGGAAAACAATTCCATTCACAATTGCATCAAAAAGAATAAAATACTTAGGAATAAACCTAACCAAGGAAGTGAAAGACCTATACCCTGAAAACTATAAGACACTCTTAAGAGAAATTAAAGAGGACACTAACAAATGGAAACTCATCCCATGCTCTTGGCTAGGAAGAATTAATATTGTCAAAATGG